TGAGGTGAGGTAGGTGTCTGCTGACTCAAAGCATTAAGTTAACGTTTAACAAAAAGCTCTTCTACCGTGACACCACAGAAATGGGATAAATGTCACTGTTCTCAAAAAAACCTTATTCAGCTCAAAGTTCAGATGATCTAAGAAATATTTCTGTCACAGTGTGAAGGCAAGCTGCACATTATCCTACCTTTCTGGTCTGTGTAGCTATGTCCACAATAAGAGCACACACCAAGAAGTAGCTTAAAGATTGATGTGCTCCCAAATCATGCTCCATAAATCCACATAATTTGCTGAGGGATACTCATAGCTCAGACTTCAATGAACTGAACTCAGAGTTTTCAATAACATCAGCTACTAAAACAGACCACATGGTTTCTCTTCTAGGAGGCATCCTGAAGCTGATTTGAGCCTGTGTCAGACAACAAACATGAACAAAAATGCAGAGTGCCAGGTCCTTTCATTCACTTGGCCTATTTACTCTGTTTTATTTATTTTCCTTTAAGATGTAAATACCCCTTTATCTCTTATTTTTATTAATCTGGAAGCCTGAAAGTCTGCCATAATTTTTCACATTTGTTTACATAAAGGCTGTGATACCACACCAACACCATATTTTTCCATCAGATGGAAGGGTAGGATGAAAAACTCAACAGCCATTTAAAAGGCAAGTACCCAAAGTTACTTAGTAGATCTAGGTGTGCAACCATGTTTGCCAAATAACACCTTCGTTTCTCCCATTGTATTTATAGCCATCATGATCAGTCTGAAGCTAATAAGGAGACACAAGGGAATTTCCTAGACATTAAAGACTGGCAGCTCAAGATGTGTGCATTTTTGATTGTCCTATACATCAGTTGAACAGTCATGTAAAGACCGCTGGCCTTTGAAATGAGATGTTGCAAGTGGTTGTTCTCCATCACCTGACAAGCTTGTGTCAGAAACAAGACAATCAGGAGCAAAGTGGGAATGACAGACAGCCATTGACACGGCAGTTGCTTCAGCTTGTAAATAAATCAGGCCAAAATGCAGGACCTACTGACTTTATGCTATACACAAAGTTTCCATTGTGATGCAGGGCTGCAGGATCAAGACCTTGTTTTTATGATTTAGCAGGATAAACATGTTGTACTCTGTGGGGCAGGGTTTGGCTGCTCTCAGCAAAACCCCCAGCATCGCACAATTGATAGGAGACGTGCTGGAGCTTGTTGGTCACAGACCTTGGAAAGAATAAGATAAAAACTCCGTGCAGGAGGAACAGGGGGTGCTGACTTGGTGTTTAAGATTAGGCGCCATGAAACAGATGTCCTGTAACTGGGAGTTATTGTTTTTGTAGGTAGGACTGTTGCAATTAGAAAGTGAATGTTTAGAAAAAAGCCTTTAGCATTAGCTAATCCCTGAATGCCTGATGTAGGATGTAAGCCAATAAAACTTTGGTATACTTTAAAGAAACCAGTTAGTGTGTAACACGCTATCTAGGAACTAGTATAAAAGTATGTGAGGAATCATAATAAATCGGACACTTTGCTTGCATCAAGCTGCGTCCCGTCTCTCAATCGTGGCAGTACTCTCCACGGATGGCATGGTTGAGGGCTCACAGTTATCTGTAAAAGTTTTTCTATTCAGTAGGGAACTTCATTCATACACAAATTACCTAAAAGAGTGGGAATAATCTCTTTTTGTCTAGAAAAATTAAACTGCTTCTGTTTTGAGCTCTGCATAAAGAGGACAGCATTTATGGATCATTGCCAGTGCCTAATGCTTCCTGTGATTTCATTTCACTCTTTTCTTTGAGAAACCCACCCAGTGCACAGCAGATCTGGCAAGTAGGGGAGTCTGCATGTTGTGAACATGCCTTTTCCCTGTCCTGTGAAATTCTCAGAAGGTTTGAATGAGCTACAAGGAGTTTAAAACTCATTTTTCTGTATTCAGGGTAGAGCAGCATCTTTTCACAGACGCAAAGAGCAATTCAAGCTTTTGTGGAGGAAAACTGAAACAGTTCACCTTGCCACCACTGCTTCAGACTCAGGGTATGGCTATTTACCCTTCTCCCCTTGGAAAGGCTTGAGGAGAATGTCTAAATGACCTGCTGTTTTCAGACTCAAACATGATGCAAGCCAAAGCCCATCTCAATGGGCAAAAAGTGAGGCAGTAAGACAGGCCAAAGCCGGTCTTCCCAAAAAGTCCAGCAAGCAGAGCAGCCTAACTCCACCCTCTGAATAAAGCACCTGCTACCTCCTGTCAGCTAGTGTTGTCAGTCCTTTTTGCCTAAAGTTGGTAACATCTGGAATTAAATGTTGACAGCAGTTTAAGTCTTGATAATGATGAGAGAGGAATGTTTCACTTATTTAGAAGAACAAATATTGGAGTACATAAATATTGGAATATAAGTCCCTATTTGCATGTATATCAGCTGTACATGTATAGGAATCATTTATCTGTGGGTGCTGGACATTAGTTCATCTCACCAGGAAAATATCTAAGTTGTTTTCTCTGGACAAAAAGAGAAAAGAAATAGTAGGTCTAGAAGGAGGGCAGTCGGCTAAGAAGGCAATGTGAGGTTTGCTAAATGTAATTCTTAAGGGCCATGCAATCCAATTGCAGTGATACAGCAGATTTCTGGTACATACGTGCTGGAACACAGCTTTTCTATGTGTTCTATGGTAACAGATCTCTGTCTCATGCGCTGCTCAGGCCACGTTAATTATGGCATAACAAAGCAAGTCCTTGAAAATCGTAGGTAGAAAGCCTGGTCCTGAGTCAAGTTTCTAGAGTTTGGATGCTTAAATCTGAACTACTTACCAAAGGCTTGCATTATAATCAATTAAGGGAAATTATAATCTCTAAAACATCATGCATCTTTTCCTAAGGAAACTGTTTAAGAGAATTAAGAATAATAATTTTCTTGAGATGCACATATTTTTGCATTAACTACAAAGGCAGTATAAATTGACCAACTAAGACATGCATGAATACTCTTTAATATAGATTATGTGCTTCTGTGTGTGTGTGTGCTTATGTACCTGTATGCAATTTAAGATATAAAGTAATAATCTCAGAGAAAGTCCTGATTAAATGAACTTGACTTGACTCATCTTAAAATTTAAAAAATTATAAAAAGGCACTTTCGCCAAAAAGATTTCAACAAGGATCTTTTTCTGCACCCCTTAACAGACTTCCTATAAGGATTGCACACATATCATGTGAGATATTCACTAGAGAAAACATTACATAATGAATAACATAAGATATTCATGGCTGAGCTATGGGTAAAAAACAATTAACTTTTCTTGTGATTTTGTTCTTTTTTGATCACTTCCTGTGTAAATGAAGGAGCTCACTGATCCTTACAATCAAACATTGCTGTCTGTCTTATCCTGTGGTACAGCAAGGATGAACAATAGTTTTTTAACAAAGTACTGTTTCCTCTCTTTGAGCTGTTCAAATGAAATACAGTTGCTACAAAATACAAAAAAAAATATGTATATGCTTAATTTAGCTTTTCCACTTTCAAGTTTGAATCTGTGATAGACTGGTATGTTCTTCTTGCTAAATAATTTGGTTCCCATTCCAAATCCACAGACGTGTTTTCAAGGAGAAAAAGATGAGATAATTTTCAAATTTTTTTGGACAATGGTCTAATCCTACCTTTACTCTAGAAAACTGAACAGTGCCAGGGCTTTCCTCCTCCCTAAGATTACAACAGCAGTGTCAAGCAGACTTAGTCCAGTAGTTACCATGAACAGGGTACCATTCCTAAAAGGTGCCTGGTGTCAGCCACACTGATTGGCAAGCTAAAGATTGACATATATGTAAATTGGCCTCAGGACCAGAGAAAAGGGCATGGTACTGTCTGGTTGACCAGTATAGATGGACCCTAAAAAAATCTGAGTTCTTTAAATCTCATACCATGTGAGCAGTTTTACAATAGTACCATCAAGACAGCAGCCCACTGTAACATCATCCCCCAGCATCTATAGATTATGTTTATTTTTTTACCCAAAGACTGACACGGCATTATATTGCTGTATCCTAGAACTAATATTTCATGACCAGTTAGTTTACTAATGCAATATCATCTCTTTTTTAACAGATACAAGTTTTCATTAAATGAAGTCTCCAATACAATTTGGGCCTATCTTCTGAATACTGGATTAACAGAGGTCAAGTTAATATCACATCAATAGAATATCTCATCTGTAAGAATTTTAAGAGTTAAGACAAATTCTGACAAGCAATGCAAATCTCAAGAACAAGTGATCATCCAACAATAATCTAACTGAAATTTAATTTTCTCATTCATTCATGAGAAAGTTCACAAACTGAGCTTTATAAAACCATTTAAGATATTTGGTTTCAGACCTATTTTCATTGCCTGAGTTATGGGAAATGCAAAATGCAGTAACTAAAATTGAAAAATTGAACTGTTTTTTCAAATTCCTCTTTTAATAATCTACAGCTTTATTTGTTAACAGCTAGGTATATCTTTTTTCCTTATGAAGAAGTATAATTATTTTCTTTTTAAATAAGAGTTCACAATGAGAACTTGTGCTCTGAGTACTTCATTCACTGTGAAATAAGAACAAGTACTTCAGTCTGCTGAAAGAGATTCTCTGCTTATTGTATCCTATATGAAGAGATAGAAGATTATCCATGTTTCATACAAGCTTAAAAATGAAAGCTACAACTTGAAGAAATTACTGACTACAGGAAATACAAATGACTGTTGCTTACTATGTGTTCCTTACTATGTGCAGTAAACCAGTCTCTGAGAGACTTTCTTTTAGGCTATTTCCTTTTAAAAATATGTATAAGAAAGTGAGAAGCACGTCTATGACTAAATGAGCTGGTTTGCATTACAAATTGAAAAAATATGTAGGCCAGCATTTCATGCACAGAAATAGCCTGGGAAATAGAAATCGCTATATTAACCCGTACTGTTTCCCTCCCATAGTGGGTGTGACGGTGTGTTCGCCTGTCACCCAGATCCACTGAGTTAGGCAGCTCTGCTGAAGGCAAACGTCCTTTATCAGGCTCTGGCAGCCTCCCGCTCTCCTGCGATGCCTTCAGCCCTTGACACCAACATGAGGCTCAAGTTCTCGATCACGGCTCTTCTTCTGGAAGTGATCATCATTGTTCTGTTTGGGATATTTGTGGAATATGAAAACAGTGATAATTCTCTACCATCATACCCATGTAAGTGTTGCTGTCTAAGATTTATAGAAGTCAGAATTTCTTTAAACGAATACTAATCAAGTTTTCTGAATAACTTAAAAAACCTGCAGATAGAGCTAGAAAAGAAAGGCACGCTTTGGGACAAACAAACTTTTTCTGAGATGACTTCAAAGACAAATTCAAGCTGAGCACATATGAAATACTGAAAGTGCCTAACTGCTGAGAAGTTAGCTGTTTTGAGAGAGAAGCATCCTGAAAATAGTTCTAGTGTTTGCATAGCAGATTAAAAAATGGAGAAATATGAATTGCTTTGAAAAATTCTAGCATTCTACAGAGATGGATTGTAGCGCTTCTTGCCGGACCTTTTATCCTATTGTATCAAATAATGAAAATTAACAGAACTTTTCATTATTATCACCCAGGTTTCAAAGGGCTGTCTTTCGCGAACATGGAAATTGGGCAGCATATTTGTTATCATTACAAAATATATTTGCAGAAACTGAACTCCATGAAGGGCAATAGTTTTTGTCACAAGGTGGATAAACCCCTCCTATCTTTCAGAGCAGTGGTTCAGCTGTTGACAGTAATGGTTCAGTCTGCAAATGTTTGTTGATTTGTTGTTCTGAAAATGCTTGATGAAGTTCAGGGAGAAAGCTTTCAGCCTGAGAAGTAGTTACTGACTTCTCCCACACTCCACGTCCTCATGCGAAGATCAGACTGTTGTAAATAATCAGTAAATTAAGTATGCAGAGGAGCAGCCTGTGTCTTACTGGAAGTACTGAAGTTTTGTTGTTCATTTTCTTGATTCTGATGTCTTAATGACTTGTAGTCCTGATAGCAACCCTCTCAATGATGATCTTAACAGTACAGAACTCCTTGCCTGTATGTAGTACCCATGTAATTTTGAACATATCCTTCTTTTTATGTCATTACAACTGGCCTTTCAGTGACTATTACAGGGGAATATGATTTTGGGGTCACTCCACTCCCTAGTAGTCTTTTGTTGTGTATCCTCAGACAGGTCATTGTCCAGTTGAGAGAAGAGTAAATATATGTCATTTTTCAGCTTCAGAACTGAGCCAGCGGCTGAACATTGGGGGCTAATTACTCACATTTGGGTTAACTCCACTAAGATGTAGCAGTATCCCCAAGAGATAGTAACTTAGGCTATGCCAGAGCCTGTTCTCTTTCTGAGACACAGCTTGGCCACATCCATGATGTTTAACTATCCCAGTTCCTAAATGAAGTGGCCTTATCTAAATGGTATATTGGGAATGACCCTTTGTCCACTGTCACCCGGGAAGTGATATCTGTCCTAGGCAAAAACTATTCCAGAGACCACACTAGTAATTTGACAGCACTGATAATTCTACTCTGGCAGTGTTATTTTATTAATGTAGGTGACCTTCTCATAACTCCTCCTCACAAGTCCCAACCTCTGCCTAGGTTCCTCTTCTTAAGTACAATCTTGCAGAGGAGCAGCCATCATTACTAATTGGCTCAGCCCTGGCCACACCTGGAGCCAAGGGAGATTTGAGAAGCTTCTTACAGGGGGGCACCTCTGTAGCCCCCTCCCCTGCTACCTAAAACCCCACCACAAAAACCCAGAACACACTTTCAGGCCCTCTTTCTCTCAAACTTCCCTGTCCGCAAAGTGCACACAAGAGCACAGTTTACCTGAGGATCTGACAGAAAACTAATACTATGGTTGGGTACATGTATTAGGACATATCCTGAGCCAGGGGAAGTCCTGGCAAACTGCTTCCCATGCTATCCCCAGAGAGTTTAACTCATCTGTACCTCATAGATTTAGTTGTTTCATCCAAGGGCTGACTTATATACTCAGAACTGCAGTGCAAGGCCTGATTTTGTATGCCTTAAATACCTCAGCACCATGAAACCAAGCTGTTTCAGTAGTTCTGGACTGAAGAAAGATGAAAATAATAATTGAGGATCACCATAGTTTAGCACTCAGGTAAGAAGGGAATGAGCTGAGATCAATCCCAAAGCATAGCTTTGCATTATATTTATTTCAGGTGGATGCAAGTGTAAGCATGGTGAATTGAATGGACAACTTCAGGTGTGCAGTGTCACTAGAATGGGAGGCCAAGGGTGTGTGATGGCTTTGCAAACACTCCTAGAGGATTTCTTTTGTACAGATATCCTGTATGTAATGTCATGCGATTGATCCATGATTCATGGCTTGGGAAAACTTATGCACCTCTCTTTTTCAGGCTTCTACAGCTTACTCCTTTATGCAGAGCAAAATCACAGTTTTTTAGTACAAACCTAGATGCCACAAGCATCTTTGTGTTGAGACTGACCACCATGCAGAGACCTTGCAGTGGAATTAATACATTGGTCTTGAGCAGCCTTGCAGAATCACGTGCAGTAGTTTTGCTCAGGATCTGCTGGAGCATTTTCCCCAGTCTTTATTTTCCTGTCTTACAGAATAGAAGTACTATGTTTTATTAAACACAGCTAGTTACTGAAACTGTTTATTTCAAATCATGCTGTTTTCTCCATCATTTTAAATCATTCCATATCTACTCTTCTTCAAAAGGATGCATAAGAGGTAGTTAAAGCACAAGGTATAGTCTAAACTAGTTGAAATTTGTCCTCAACATCCATGAATTAACCTAGATTTAACCAGGACTTTTAATCTTTTGTGTAAATAAGCCCAGATCATTTTAAAACATTTATATGAATCCTGGCTAGCCCTCAGGAGGACTCAGGATTATATGTCAAACAGCTGCTTGTTTCAAACAGAACTGTTTCTAATCTTCAGGGCTGGGGTGAGATTTCTAAAAGCACCTTTCGAAAGACAGTTGAGAATGCAGAAGCCCTGTTGGTGGGCATTCAGAAATAAACTCCTCAGTCATCAACACACTTTTGACACCTGTTTTTTTGCTCACATGTAGTCAGGTTACTTAAGCAGTAAAGCTTCTTTTACTAATCTAGGCATGATTTACTGAGACGTTGTATACATGAATGGGATTGTTTTGATGAGAAGAATTTACTTGCTTTGTCTGCAATGATTTAACCAGAAGATTGCAAACAAGAGAAAGCAATACACTGAATGCTAACAAACCATAATCTCCTCTGGGAGAAAATTTTTCTTACCTGGAGCTAACTACCCTGAATGGGCAAAACTAAAACTGTTGGAAAGTCCTATGACATAGGCTGATTAAATAATTAAAAGAGCAGAAGTAGGTAATTTTCAAACATACCCTTCATTTTGTGCATGAAACTCAGGTGAGATGAAAACTGAAAACTGTTGAAGTCATATATTACTTTGACTTGTCATGTTAAGTGTTTATTGAATACATTTGCGTTTCCTTTTCTAAGGTGAAACAAAAAGGCTACTTTTGTAAATGATATTGCTGTTCAACTTTTATGGATTTGCCCTCTAGTTCTGTATTTTTTTGGTAACATTAACAAGCTTTTAATAAAGTAGTTGTACAAGAGTCAGACAAATAACCTATGCCAATACTCAAATGTAAAGGTGCTGATCCCACAGGTTACTGGGTGAATGGTCACTCATAGAAAATTATTTTAAAAAGAGGAGAAAAAGGCTTTCTCAGCATACAATTTCCACTTATCTTCCAAAAAGAGGGAAAGATATCTTGGGTTACTCCTTCTCTTATTTGAAAAGAGCTTCTTCATGTGACCTGTCAACATATTTTTGTCCCACTCAAAAAAAAACCCTAGGTGGGTGATCACCTGTACCTGAGATCATCAGAGTGGTGTTAGAGGAATGCTGGAAAGGCTATCCAATCTCAGTCTTACCAGCACTAATGACTACTACATGTTTTCCAAGACATTTGAAGGAGAGTCGCTCTAGATGTGCTGTTCACCATCACAGAAAAAAGACATAGCTCTGTGTCCTTGTGGCACAGGCTGCTGCAAGCTGGGAGGGTACACAGGCAGTTGTACCCATCAAATTATCTTGTATTTTAATATCCTTTTCCTAAACACCCACTGCTGACTCCCTCTCACGTAGGAATATGGACAAATTAAGCTGTGGTTTGGGTTCTGCATCCACTAAGGCTCAGGAAGGTTGTATTAGCATGGTTTTCATGGGCCACAGCCATATCTTTTTCATCTCTTTTCAGGTCCCCCGAACCAAGGGAATATGTTGAGCTCTAAGCAAGGCTTATTTTCACACAGAATTGCAATACAAAATATGCAGGTATATTAAAAGCAGAAGTCCAGATGGGGAAGTTAAGTTGATTGTGTATGCTTTAAAGTAAGTAGTAAGCACAACACGAGAGTTTGTATAGTAGTTCTGGAAACTGAGTAGCACGTAGGAAAGTGGAAAGGTTCAAAGGACTTTGGTGGCTTCAAAAATCCCATCACTGGCTATTATTGAAGTCAGGAAATAAATGTGAAAATGCGCAGACTAAAGAGGAAGCAAAAGGGTTGGGGATGTCTGCAAACCACTTACATTTCTATGCTGTTTCTTAGATGTGTGTAGCCCAATGTAAAGGATCTTACTACATGCATGTATTTCAGTGCTAGGTCAGGGTTGGAATATGACAGTGCAAATATAATAGGGTTTATTAGGAATGCCCAGTAATTTATTGTACTTCTGGGCCCTCTTTTGGCTAAACATGGTAATGCAAAAGTGTAAGAATGCTGAAAGTACATAACTGGGAAATGTAACTTCAAGCCAAATTATTATATTAATCAGGTCAACATCTCACGTTATTCCCACATATTTGTATGTAGGAGACAATGAAATACAAATGAAAAGAAACAGTTTGTCTAGACTAGGATTCTTGCTAACAACAAAATTGGAGAAAAAGCTTTAATTACAGGACTCAAACCTGTTTGGTGTAGAGTCCATTAAATCACATAAATCACATCAGAGTAACAAAACATTTTAAAATATAAAATATCCATGTTGTGGTGATAAACTCAGTTTGTAGTAAAAAGCCTAAAATAGAAGAGGAAAAAAAAAAAAAAAAAAAAAAAAAAAAGAAAGACTTAAAAAAAGGTAGAAAAAGTACTAGCCATATTTTAACAAAGTTCATATTTGAAAAAAAAAAAAAAAAGCATATTTGAAGGAGGGCTAAGTACATGCTGATTATCAATATTAATTTCCTACTTTAGGCATTACCTTAAACATCTTTTTCTTTTACTCAGGTATATAAATCTATCTCTTTTTAAGGATAACAAACATACCTTTGGACTGGACCAACTATCACTCTACCAGAGAAATCCCATGTACAATTTTGGAGTTAGCCAGAACATGCTGGGTGTGACAACCTTTATTTGGGGGGAAAGAACTTTTCTGTAAGGACATGATACTCTGATGTTCCAGTTAGCTTCGCACATGGAGAACAGTTCTGGACAAGTTACATTTGTTAGTATAGAGATCTAGTGTTCTTTCCATACTGATACATAAATTAGTAAAATCAGTAATTGGGTATTGCATTTTCCAGATGCTTAATCTTCAACTAGTAGACTGGTCATGAAGTGGGGAAGGATGGGTCATGCTGATGACATAATTTTGGAATTCTTTTCCATTAAATCCTCATTTTTCCCTAGCTTTCCTCCCCTCATAGTCACTCTTCATAGTCACTACACAGACCTGTTTTCCCTTCAGATTTTCAGGATGTCCATGTGATGATATTTGTTGGATTTGGTTTCCTGATGACCTTTCTGAAGAAATATGGATTCAGCAGTGTTGGTATCAACATGCTTGTGGCTGCCTTCGGTCTCCAGTGGGGAACCCTGATGCAAGGATTTTGGCACATGGAAGGAGGGAAAATTCATGTTAATATCAAAAGGTACACGTGAATTTACCAAAACTGACATTTCTATCCCTTAAGATATCAGGAGAATCCATAAACTATAACAGCTGTGGGATTGTACTTCTAAATTCACTGAAATGTAATTGAACCTTATTGTCCACCTCTCAACATTTGTCTGTCTTCACCTCTAAAGGGACAAGAGCTGATGCACTGGGCCAAGGGAACCAAAGGTGGGATGAAATTTGAGGTGTTATGTTACATGTGGGCCATAGGTCATATAGAAAGACTGCTTTAAATCTCTGGAGCTGTGGAAGCTGGAAAATTTCCAGCAGTAGCACAAAACCTCCTGCATCTAGCAGGCATGAAAGGATCTCCCCTTCCATGACACATGGGGTCACAGAAGAAAGGCTAGAACAGTGTGTCTATCCATTTGTGAGGTTTTTTCCTACTTCTCAAGGAATGATTTGCATGAGCACCATACTGCAGTAGGTTTTGGACCCCATAGAATAAGACACCTTATGAACAATGTCACTAGATACTTTTAAACCCCCTTCCATTCATCTGTCCTGCTTTTACCAAGGTCTCAGAGTGTTTTTCACATCTGCAGGTCTGTTTAGTGAGACAACTTGTAGACAATTTTAAAAGGAACAGCATCTAAACATTATTGAGGGACAAGCAGAAATAATACTAGTAGCTCTTTAATGCTTAGAGGCAGGCATCTGTAGAGGCACCCATAAGTTAGTATCCCTCTGTGCTGCAAGTTTTTGACCAATTTGTGATTTTATTTATCCTTGCCATTGTCCATAACCTGTTAACACTAGCCCTTCCTAACAGCTAGTGCAAACCATCTGACCAAAGCTCAGAGCTCCCTGTCATCTTTGTAGTTCAAATGACAGTCAGAGCTGGAAATACCCCTGTACATCTGCAATACACATCTCATCTGACTTTTCACTATAATTTCAACCATCTAAACACATACATGGTATAAGCTGTAGGTAATCTTCCCATGCTTTTTCCTCAGTAGCTGGTAAGATCCCTAGAAAACCCATTTGGAAAGGTTTGATTTAATTTTCATCCACAGAGATAATCCTGATAATTTTATATCTAAAGAGCAAATGGTGTATCATTTTAATAGTATAACAGGTTTGATATTACAGCCGTATTTCAGGTCTCTTTAAACTAATTTTATTTTTTCCTGTGTTTTTGCTTTACTTTGTCTTGGTTCTACTCCTTTTCTTAATTTCAGTATGATAAATGCAGACTTTAGTACAGCAACTGCTTTGATTTCGTTTGGAGCAGTCCTGGGGAAAACCAGTCCTCTTCAGATGCTGATCATGACATTGCTGGAGATCACAATCTTTGCATGCAATGAACATCTAGTTACAAAAATACTTCAGGTACAACTACTTAGCAATAATTGTTTTCTGCTTATAACAAATACTTTCATTTTGTAATACTTCCTGTTTACATATTCTAGGTTCTAGTTTCTACCATAGAAAATAAACCATTAAAGTAATCCAGGCTTCTTCTTCTTCATTAAATTCTAATATTTATGCTGTATAAAATCTATGGCATTATTTTGGGTCCCTATTACAGGCCATGGATGTTGGAGCCTCAATGACTATCCATGCTTTTGGAGCTTACTTTGGATTGGCTGTAACCCTAATCTTGTATCGTCCTGGCTTGAAAAACAAACATGAAAATGAAGAATCTACCTATAATTCGGACATATTTGCTATGATTGGTAAGTGAAGTAATAACGAGTGTTGATTAGTTGTTCATTCCCCTTTCAGCCCTATGCTTTAATGGTTACCTATTATTACGTTGCATCCATTCTCTTAAAACCAATCATAGAAGCATTGTCTTTTTTGTCCGATGAATGCACAATCTTTTCAGTGACAGACAAACATCTTTTTACAGTTTTTCCTTGTTTAAAAAAAATGAAAGATCAAATTAAAGGTGCATTTTCACTGTGCATTAGTGGTGAATCCCTTTTTGTTAAATCTTCTGTTACAAACAGCATTTTTATAGAAATTAGTCATAATTAAAAGTACTGAGCTGTGTCTGTCCCACTAATGAATGTTAGAAATGATACATCTATCTGTCCATGAGTTCTACTCATATATCAATTTACCACCTAACACTAGCAGTTATATCAATATGTGATAAAGGATTTGCATGTGAACTGTCTTGCTATTCTAGTATGATTTTCACTGTGTTGGTGAGCTCTGGCAGGGACTGGGGCATGACAAGGGGTCACAGTGTGTTAAAGTCTTCCAGTAAGATTTGACAGAGACCAAGTGTCAAAATCCCAGGTGCTAGTGTCAAAAGCTTCTACATGATCTATTATTTTTTCCAGCATTTTGGCTATTTCATATTTCTTATTGATCATTTTTCTCATTTCTTGTAGCTAGTTCTGTTGTGTTGGACCTTTCACATTGAAATATCCCTTGTGACTGAACAGTCTTTGTTTTATTTTGATTTATATTCATCCAGGTACCTTGTTCCTTTGGCTTTTTTGGCCTAGTTTTAACTCTGCCATTGCATCTGATGAAACTTTCCAGGTTAAGGCAATTGTCAACACTTACTATTCCTTGGCTGCATGTACCATCATAACATTTGCCCTCTCCAGCCTCGTGGATCAAAGAGGCAAATTCAGTATGGTAAGCATCACTTCTCAACCTCTGTTAAATTGAATCATCCCTCTGTGATAAGGATGATTGAATAGATTTCCAATGTCCATGAGCTATCTAGAGCCTTTGCTCATAGTGTGGACAAACTTAGAGCTATTATGCTTTTAAAAGCTATAGTGTGAGGTTGGGCCCTGAGGCAACCCACCCTGCTTTAGGTATGTGATGATTCCTCAGTGGGATCACTGCATCTGGAGAGTGAAAAGCTCTTAGACATGATGGTGATGGTCCTGCTCCCTTGTTCTCTCTTGTCCACAGAACCTGATGGACCATAGAGACATTAGTCCAACGTTCAGGTAGACTTTTGGCTCTTATTCCAAAGAAAATCTTATTTGCGTTACCATATTGTAATAGGCAAAATAGTTCTCTCAAAGCAATGGCATCTTTCCTGGCAATCGCACAGTGAAGCTGCACAACAGGCAAAGCCAAACTAGGTTGGGGATGCCAGACTGTCAACCCTTCATCTCCTTGGCCTAAAATCCAGCCCTGTGTTTTCACGCATATTTTTTTCCAGCAGTCACAGTGTTTATCTAAGCCCAGCATGAGCAGGCACAGCTCAGTGAGCCTGCAGAATTTGCTGCTGTTGTAGGAGGCAGTCCTCATTGGCTCAGCCTGGCTTATCAAGGGGTCTAATGAATTGTAGTGACTTTGCAAAAGTTGCACTGCATTAAACTGGCCCCAGTTAAACTGGCTTAGAGCAGCTTTGAACCAACATTCTGAACTTGTAGCAGGGAACCAGATTTTAAGTTCCTGTTCATTCTTCATTGGAAAAATCCCACCTGAAGAAAAGGAAAACTTCTGTATGCAAAAAAAGTCTTCAAAATCACTCAGCCCTAAAACAAGCCTCTATTCCACGTATATCATCTCCACCTCTGTGTACTCTTTGCAGGTTCTCATTCAAAATGCCACCCTGGCAGGAGGAGTAGCAGTGGGTACTTGTGCTGACATGTCAATCCACCCTTTTGCTGCCATGTGCATTGGTGGCATTGCTGGAATCATCTCTGTCCTTGGGTTCCACTTCCTTACTGTAAGTGCTGAGGACCAGCCCCTGCTCTCATTTACTTATTGCTTCATTGATTTTACTAGAGCTCCCTTTGTTTGCTAGAAAGGCAATTTAGAAACTGGCTGATACACTATAGAGAGTAAGCTGTAGATAACAGTTATTTTTAAATCAGTGTGACTTAAATATATGATTATGTGCTAACTTGAGTCCATCACCTAGCTAAAACCAGAGAAGGAACACAAAGATATTACAGTTCATTAAAAATGGGGATTTCTGTTCAAGGAGCTGCCAGAATTTTGCTCCAAGCCCATGTTTCAGTGAAATAGGGCTAATTACATTTCAGTCTTTTAAAATTTCTAAGTAGATCTGTAATCAGAAAACCTTTTTGAAGTATAAAACGAAATTATTTCGTATGCAAAATGTAGAAACAAAATTTTCTGACTAAAACTGTTTAAACTGACATTTCCTGATGGAGAAACCTCTTGGAAGAAAATATTTGAATAGCAGACACAGAATAGATGTGTAGTGTTACTTATCCACCTCTTTCAACTTTTGCTGTAGTGCCTGAAGTGATTAAGAATACCAGTGGACTGCTTTGTACCATTATATGTATGATGGTAGATTGGACATTTGTACTATTATATGTATATACTTGGTTTTCTCTGCATAGAAACAACTTCACAGTGAAAGGAAAGAGAACCAGTTTTATAGCTAAATTTTGTATACATGAAATAAGTTAAACTATTTCTTGTACTTCTGCACTACTTTCTTTTGTATATCATTCTAGAGATGATGGAAGATTATAAAGTAACTATAAACTTCATATTTCTCCTCATTTCAGCCTTTGTTGTCATCCAAACTGAACATTCAAGACACTTGTGGAGTTCATAATTTACATGGTTTACCTGGAATACTTGGAGGTATTGCTGGCATTGTAGTAACTGCAATAAAAGAGGAAGCTAGGTGAGTTACAGAAATAAGAAAGGAGTTTATTGCTTTCTGAAGGTCTAGCTAATTTTACAGCTTCCTTTGATCTAATTATTATATTTTCTTCAGAAAATGCATCTTTGATTTGATGTCAAATATCGTGTTCTGTTTTAAATAGAACTCTTCTGGATATCCTTCCCTTAACACACTCTTTATATGCCAAGTGCATTCCAAACTAAAAGCTCAAATAAAAATAAATAAATTAAAAACATAATAAAAAACAACATACAGAACCATTCAAACATAAAAGATTCTTTATTATGATTCTACAATTACACTGCCGGTAACTGTAAGATTTCCAAGAAAATTGACAAAATAGGCTATTTCCATTATTTTAATTTTAGAGACTCCAAGAAGATGAAATGTTGGTCTTTTTGGCAAAGCAAAGCATTCTCTGCAGGTTTTCAAGATAATGATATCCTTTTCAAAGAACTTGTTTTCATCTATAGTCTAAAATAAAACCAAAATAAAATCATGATTTCTGTATTGTACACAGCAATGGCAGTATATTTTCCTATGTGCTATCTTGTCTAACAGACAGCAAGTACAATGTTGTAAGACCAATTATCATTCTCAAAGTGTGAGAACTTTTTGATTGTCAATGGTTTATTTTCTTTCAGGCAAGGTGTCATTTCTACTCCTGGAATGCAGGCTGCTGCCCTGGGCAGTACAATCGGAATTGCACTGGCAGGCGGAGCATTGACAGGTCAGTATGATGCATATAGCAACTGAAATATATGCGAATTTAGTGGTTTTCCCATGAAGAACATCAAAATATCAACGATTTAATGTGAATAATACAAAACAGAAAAATAGATACAACGAATGATGACACACTGGCAGAAACATATATATGGAAGTCTTCCAATAATTTTGTCTTCAAATGAAACCTAGATATCCTACTGCATACATGTTTCAAAGATACTAGGTTGTATATGTAGGAATAGTAAGATGTTTTTCTGGATGAAATTCTCTAGATTCAGACACTTAAAATTCTGAGCAGAAACTAGTTCGAGATTAAGACATATTCATTTAGGTGTCACATATTTATGTGTAATTGTGGATAGTTTCCAAACTAAAATTCAGGCTGAAATAGAAAATTCCAGTCTGAAATCTGGGAAATGTTTGAGCAATTAAAAACAAGCTCTTATTCACGTTGACATGAAGAAACCTGCATCACCTCTCATAATGAGTGATATGATGTCCCAAGATGGGTGGGCATTTATATATACTAGGAAACAAGTCAGAATAATTAGATGACTCCCCAGGAGAAATCTGAGAAACATTTATTTAGGCATTTTGTCCATTTTTTAACCTCTGATGATGTTTTTCCTGCAGGTGGTATTCTAAAGCTGCCCTTCTTGGGACAAGCATCTGACCAGAACTGCTTTGATGACTCTGTTTATTGGGAGGTAAGATACAACCTTCCATTATTTTCATTATTTTGGAAGATGTACAGCACACTACAGTCCTGCTCATCTGGGGTTTGTGGTTTGCACATAAGTCAGCTTTCAAAAATGCTCTGCCTCAGGCTGTGAATTTATCAAGGCCATCTTCAAGATCTTTTTTGGACTTGCTAGCTAGTCATGCTGTTTACATTGGACTAACCTTGAACAAAAAGCAGAAATAGAGCCAACAAATTGAGACATCAGTGGAGCTTTTTATCTCTCTTTTAAGTGTTTGCTGCACCAGGTATCCTCTTTCTTCTTGTAATTCAGTCACATAATATTAGCATTTTTGACCAAATGGTACTGTTTTTCTAATGTTATCTAGAATTTCATACTGAATGAAATTTAGAACACTTTGATGTTTGTAGGGTGAGTCTCCCTAGGCTAAGCAGAAGCTCTTCTGCTTCCTGGCTGAATGATCTGTTCACTGAGGTTATCAGAAGAAAATGAGCCTCCTGGAACTGTTGTTTTATGCATGAAGACACAAACAACAGGGCTGATAAACAAGTACATTTGAAGTATCCCTGCTAGGCTCCCTTTACACTCAATGAAGAGATGTCTCTAGACTGCAGTTCATTTGAATACTTCCAGATCAGCATTAGGTTACATGAATGAAAACCTTGAAAGTCTCTATATTCTCCACTGATAATGAAAGAGCTTTCATTGCCTACCTCAAATGTAGACCTCTACACCATAGAGACGTAGGTTTGATCAGCTGAGTCCCACATACATCTGAATGCCTATAAACAAGTGCAGAGCAGAAACTCAGACATACCCTCCCTCTTGGCTAACCTAAGAAGTTCCCTGTACTGTTTGTAGGCTTTCTGCATCCCCCTTAATTAGAGACTGATGACAGATTCTTAATTTAGGCATTCTGAATTTTATCCTTTATGCCAGGACAAACTCAAAAACGCAAGACAAGAAGAAATACAAGATACACATTCTTTCTAAACAAAATGTTGTGAACTCAAAAGTAGACTAAATTAGTTTTTTAATGAATTAAACTCCAGTATGAACAACAATATTTGGCTTTTGATGAAAGTTTTCAGTCTAAGGGGAAGTTTTGAGTCAAAAGATCAGCTGTAGCAAAGACAATCAGAAAAAACAACTTTTAATGACAGCTCTGTAAGTCATTCGCTGTTTGACCTCAGGAAAGTCAAAGCACTGGTTTTCAGCAAGACCTGAAAAAGGCTGTCAGGTGTAAAAGATAAAAATGTTAGGAAAAGGAAAGCTTTAAAATGTGGCTGAAGAATTCACAGTCTGTATTGACCAGTGATAATAATACAACCCTGTTTAACTGAAGGTACTGTAGGATCATTAGAACAGCTCAGAAATACTGTATGCTACATGAACTTTATCAAGTAGTGGAGAAGGACGTTGATATTTGGCATACAAGATCATTTACATTTCACTAGAGATGGTCACCTTGTTTCTTTAGAGCTCTTTGAAAATCTTAGATATTAATTTTGCACTCTCGTAGCTAACACCAGTGTTAAGGAATTCTTCTATTAAGAAAACCCTGAATTAATCCCTCAGAAATCAGAACTGGTGGTACATGTCGTGCTGGATCAATGTTAATGAATAGACACATAATTTATACAAACAAAATGACATTCTCAGTGTACTTTAGTCTCCTTTAATGGCAAAAGGAAGTCTACATCTCATCAACTGAACTCTTCTCTGATTTTCATGGCAGGTTCCAGAAGAGGAGAAACTACGTGAAATTCACTCCAACAACTATGATGAGCACAGCAGATTTGAAGCCAATATGTAGAAAAATAATTAATCTGTAATATTTTTCCTAATGATGCTCTTTTCAGTTTGAAATGCTAAAAACCAACATCCGAGTATTGTCCTAACCACACTATGTTTTCAACAAGGATCTATAAATAGCTATATTTTTGGACTATAATACAAGCTTGATTTTAGAATACATAGTCATAATGCCAAGCTCAGGTGAATTAATTAGATCCTTCCAATTTATTTGTTCATCAGAAAAACCCACCACAAACTGCTCTACAAATTTATCTATATTTTACCTTTTGTCATCACTGAGTCAATATAGTTATTGAAACAACCTTTGTGTTTCAAGCCTACTACAGGATACCATATTTAACTAAGATTTCTGAGTTACCATCACATCCTTCAACTGTGTAGAGGTAATCAAGAAGAAATGGATTGATATTGTTTATTTGGATTCCAACAAGCTTTTCATCAGAGCATCCCAGATTAACTTTTTAAGAAATCATGTTTTCATATTTTCAGATGGGGGAGAAAATGTGCTGCATTTTGAATATTGGTTATGACAGGCAACAAAATGTTGAAATAATTTCCAGGGTAAAGTACAGAATATAGTTATAGATAAGGTATATTAAGTGGCAATATGAGTATCAATATTCCTTGTTAATATGTTTATTGAAAGGGAGAAGAAAGTGAAGTGGTAAAAAATTTCTTTATTGTCATGGATTTATTTAGACTCTTTCAAGGACACAGTAAGGAAACTGAGTAGGAGACATGAAAAATGGGTATTTGCTTAATATGCCTTATTACATCCAACAGTAATAAGTGGTTAATAGCACTGTTAATGTCAATATATATAAACTGAACTCATTGCTAGCTCCAAGATAAAGAGTGAGTTGCTAGCAACTGATCAGAAAGCAAATATGTTCAACTCACTCAGTGGAGAACTGCCGTGTGGTTAGTCGCTACCTTTGAAGTCGCTGCCTCCTAAAACAAGACAAAACAGAAAGAAGAGAACTGAAGCTAAATTAAGGTAAATTAACTCCATCTGAGAAGTGATGATAATGTCAGCTCGATTAAGAGAGAAAAAAAGTTGAGATATCTGAAGAAACCCTGTGAGATGACAGTAGCCGGGAGCAGAGTCACACATCTGTGCCTACCTATGTGAGGTAATCCATTGAGAGGCAACGGATGGGAGATGAAAATCTAACAGAAGGATCACAGTGCCTCTAGGCATCATTCAGACACAGAAAGCTACCACTCATGTCTTAGAAGGACAATCTACAGTAGATGAACTTTCAAGACTTTTTTATATTAGCATCTTATTTCATGTCTTAATTATCAGATTTAAGGGAGAAACTCCTCTCATATAAATTAGCACAGATATTTTCAATTCTGCTGATGTATTTTTCCTTGAAACACTTTAGAAAGATACTGGGCAGGGCTGTCCCATGTGTTATATCAGTTGTATACTGACATATATGTCATATTTCTATCTATGAATGAAAATACATCTGTTATAACACACTTTAGTTCAGATATGTTCTTTTGCAGATGTGCAATGACTGACTCTTTTTTACCTTGTCGGCTAGAAGACATCTTTTATCCTTTCAAAGCTTTCACATAATAATTTTTGTAAAAACTGAGAAGGTATTTAACAATGTAAATATTGCAAATGTAAAGTTTTTAGAAGTATTTTGTGCATAATATATGAATTATTGAAGTACTTGAAAAAGACTCCATATGTAGACAGACTGTAAAAATGTCATCCTCAATACATGAAGCTCATCCTTCAAAATCCTACTTGGGGATTCAGAAGGTCTTTCATTCACCTATAGCTGTGAGATAGTCTCATTGATTGTGAGTGTTGACCACAAAGGAATACCTGAGCGAGAAAGTACCAGTCACTGTGAGTAAATCTTTCAGAATGATGCCTTCAATAGTTATCTTTAGTTCTATTTTTTTTTTTAAAAAAAAAAAAAAAAAAAAAAGAAAAAAGGAGGAAAAATAAACTATGCAGTTTTGTTCTCCAGTTCTCCTTATAATCTTTCCATAGCAATCTTTCCAGACCTTCATCCACTAAGTACTCATTCTTGTCCTCTGCCTTTTTTCAGAAGATTAATGCCCCAGGGAAATCAGTCCTTCAGGTTCTCTCAAAAACAGAATAGTGAAATGGATCCCTATGCATGGAGATGTATTCCACCTAACCTATCTATCATTTTCAGGAAATTATGTTTCCTTTTTGACAAGGAAGTACCTTAGAAGTAGGGCCTGTGGCAATAGGACAAGAAGTTATGATTTTGATCTAAAAGACGGTAGATCAGACTAGGTATCAGTAAGAAATTTTTTACAATGAGAGTGGTGAAACATTGGCAAAGGTTGCCCAGAGCGGTGTTACATGCCCCATCCCTGAAAACATTCAAGGCTAGGTTGGACCAGGCTCTGAGCAACCTATCTGGTGGAAGATATTCTTGTTCATTGTGAGGGGGTTGGACTAGACGACTTTTAAAGGTCTCTTCCAACCCAAACCATTCTATGATTCTATGAATCTAAGTCTAGCTTAGCCTGGGAAACTATATTTTAGATGGCTGAAATCATGTGAGGAATATATGACTTTAACAACTGGAAGAGGGCAGGATGTGATAAACTACAGACCATTATATGAGAAAATTGCTGGATGTGACAGGAAACAATATAACACTCTGACAAGAATTACAGATAACCCCGTGAAAAATTAAAAGTGAGATATATGAGAAATGGCCTAATAGCACACATAATTGTAGGGGAAAATTGAGGATTTTCTGGTGAGCATAACCTTTGAGATGCCAGATATTATCCTATAAGCATAGATGAAATACCACCCTCAGGTACAGATGTAGCAAATCTAAGACCAAACAAAATTTAATTAGTAGTAGCGAAAAATGGGGAAGGCAAAGAGATAAGAACAGGGACAATGAGGCATGCAAAAAAACCTGCAGTGAGATCTGTCTGGGATATCTTTCAGGCAGTCCTTGAGATAGATCAATGCAGCCCAGAGCAAGACAATAAATCAAATCTCTTGTTTTGATCATCCATGTGTGTTTGATTTCCTCCTGTGGTCTTCACCCTGCTATGGTAGAAAGATACCGTTGATGCACAACCCAAAATTCACTCATTCCCTATGGTCAGAAGACTTAGACAAGTGCCTCAGCTCAAGATAGGTGAATCAAGGCCTTACAACCTGACCACATTGTATGAAAAAACTGGACACAGAATTTTCCCAGCATGTTTCAGTCTTTTTCCAGCATGCTTCAGACTGCTCTTCACCCTGAATAGACTCTCTATGAAACAGATGTTGCACAATGATGTCTGTGATGGAGTCATCAGAAAATTAAATACAGCAGTTGTTGGATTTCTAAATAACCATTGTTTAATCAGAGCTTCAAACATTACTTTCTTTTCAATGTAACTGTGCCCTTGAAGTGTATGACTTGTTTCTGCTAAGGTTCTTTAACCTAATCACTCACGTCCATACTCAGATGTCAGGTTCTCTGCCTTGGGATATTTTCTTTGGTTGGTTATTTCTAAATTAAAGCTTTGAATACCCTGAATCAGTAGAGCTTCTTTTGTACACGTTTACAACTGCTGTGTAATATGTTACTGGACACTATGGAGAGGTGTCCAGCCTTACAGAAGCTTAAAATGTTTTGCTGATAACCTTTTTACTTGTCAATGAGGGAATCATACAATGGCAGGAAAGGAAAGCAAGGAGTTAAATGAGACACAACGTGGAGGATGAACTTTGAAGATGGAACTAAAAAGTAAACCAAAGTTAAAGTGCAACTATTCTAAATTTGAGGTTCATGATGACTAACATTTCTTTTCTTTCTCATAAAAGCCTGCCAATGTTTTATCCTCTCCAGTAACCACTGAATATTCTTTCTGTTTTACCTTTGTTCTCGTCTTGACTTGTCTTTACATAAAAAAGCTTAAAAAAGACTTATATTTTAAAAGTGAGTACAAACGCATTCAGTATCGACATTTATTAATCTGTGTATAAAAATATCTGAAAAATATGAGTTAAATGGTAGCAACCGTGTGTAACTTTCAACTCAAAATTAGATACCTCCATCAGGATGCTGAAATCTCTTTCTTAGATTTCTGTCATTCTTAGAAAAAACCTTAGGAGACTCTATATTTTTCAAATTATTAGCATTTTGGAAGTTAGGTCAACCATCCCTTAAAAGATATTTTCTGTATCAAGTCCTAATCAGAAAACTCTTTCTCTGAAAGGGTAAAACTGGCAGAAGCCACTGGATTGGTGGTTTTCTAAGTAAAAACATAAATTTTAATGTTTCTAATACAGTGAATCTTTTTTTTTCTTTTCTTTTTTTTTTTTTTTTTTTGAAAGCGATTAAATACAGATAGATTACATTTTAATGAAATGAAACAAAGGAGTTGGACTTAAAGAAAGAAAAAGTTTTATCTTATTATTATTTCCTCTTATTAGCAATTGTTTCTTATTTAAACTAACAAAAGATCAAGCTTATTGACACACAACACTTTTCCAAAACACCAGTTTGTGTCCATAACTTTGAAGACTGTCTTACAGATATTTAGTACTACCTCTTTCAGAGCAGTATCTTTGTATTTCTTTACTGAAAGGCAAATTTACTTTAAAACCATTTACTGAACATTTGCCTGAGGAGAATAACGGACTCTGGCAACTCTATGAGTCATAAATAGAAGATGTTTATTTCTGATACAAGTGCATTTATGTATCTTCCTATCAACTGATCACACATAAACAAAAAGCTTGACTGGTTACATGCATTCTTCACACTCTGTCCATGTGCTTAAGACTAACATTTGATTGGTCATTACCCTCTGTCCATAATACATCAGATAACTCATTGGCTACAAGTTAGTTACTGCTATCCTAAGCCTATTGGTTAATTAAATCTTACAAGCACAAACACAACACTCTATACACTTTTAGCCCAAGGTAGAAAACTTTCTACTGTTTAAGAAATGGCCAGATGTTTTCCATTAACCATAGCCTGGCACGTTTTCTTCAGGTAAAGCTCAGCATCCTTATCTTGTTTTTCTACATTCCTGTTTGCTACTCCCAAGGCTTCTGGCCAATGAAGGTCAAGATGTTCTCATCATTCACTAGCTGTACAGCACTCTCAGTTCTTTTTCCTCTTTTCGCGTCCCTTCTGAGATGTAGCCAAAGTCTTGCTCTTGTCCAACATGGCCATTGTCCTCCAAAAACGATCCCACATTTGCCTACAAAATTTCTTTTAACATTTGTATTCAAATCTGTTGCTGGCTAAATGCATGAATTAAATGATCAGATGATCAATTCTATTTGTTTGATATTTCTTGGGGGCATACAATTTTCTTTCTCTCTCTTTGGGATCAATCTGTTGACAAAGAATGTATGGTGAGGCTCCTACCAAGAAAGAGCTTTGCCTCTTCTTCCCTAGCCTCCTGCAGAAGTTTACCTTTCACTCTCCCCTAGGAGTTTCCATCTCAGACCTGGACCTCTTCCCTTCCGCTGGGTTTTCCGTCCACCCAGAGCCTTATAAGGCCTACACTATACCAGCTTCCTAGAGTTTTTCTTAGACGTATTTCTGTTTCGGAAACAAAAAATATATACATTCAGTTCAAAACAGATCAGCAGTCCCCTGACACATACTTGTCCCTACACCTATACAATATCTCATCAAGCAAACTGGTCAGGGATCAGTCTCTGGTACTGCAGAGGTCACACACCCACACAACGACACTTTCTCTTCCCTGACCTCCAAGGTAGATCTCAGTTCTTCACACATCCCTCCAAGTACAGAAACGTACATAGAGATACTAGTATACATAAATACTAGTAAATACTAATAAATATTAGTAAAACCTACTACAAGAAAATGATATATGTTATCCCAATTCAGAACTACCATGCAAACACATTGAAGAGTACCAGAGGAAATCCTCTACTTGGAAGTAAGAACTAATTTACTTCAGAATAGTATGCATATTAATGAGATCCATTGCACTCTTTAAAAAAAAAAAAAAAACAAACAAACAAACAAAAACAAACCCGACTTTCCCACTTTAGAATCAAACTGTCTCCAGCATTGTCTTCAAAGATGCAAAGATGCTTACTTTATTATGAGTGACATAGCTAAGCAACCAGATCCCCCAATTTTCCAGCAAGTTTGGCCAATGTTCCGTATGTCTGCATCCATTTGGGGTATTTTTTCTCTTGAGTTCATGTTAGCTGAGGAGAATTGGGACAATGAAAAGAATGACTTTTGGTCTCCTAAGTCTTGCTCACTGAGATGACTATGCACCACAAGAATTTTCTCCCATTCCTAAAAGAACCTGACCCAGTTCTCATGCATCATGTAAAACACCATAGAGCAGAGAAGTATTTCTGCAGGGATCCTGATGCTTTAAAGAGACAAGGACAAGGGGCTCAGCCTGGGCACCTCATCTCACACAGCCTTCACATTCTTGCCTCAAGGTCATGTACAATTTAGTTCTCTACACTTCTACTAGAAAGCTCTTCTGAACACTGTTCTGAGGGCTGAAGTTCATTTCTGATCAGCCTCGATGAAAGCCCTGGATGGTTTCTTCTCCATGGTTTGTTTTTTTAACACCTCCTTCTCTGCCACTCACACCTTTAGACTCTAAGACACGAGTCAGACTGTACCTCTGCCCTCTTTTCTCAACCAGCAGAGGCCATCTTTTCTCAATTCTCCCTTCAGTTTTGGCTCCCCATTCAGAGATAATAATTCAAGTTCTTCTCTCCACCTCTCTTCCTGAAATGGTTACAGATGGATGTCAAAGTCAATAGACACAGCTGAAGATACAGGCCCTAACGTACAACTGGCTCTAGTAGATTGCCCTGCTTGAGTAGCAGTGTTGGACCAGATGACCTCTAGAGTTCCATTCCAGCCTCAACCATTATGTGAAAATCAGGAACATGTAAGGTGTGGATTATCTTACCAGTTTCAGCTTCTGATTTTGGAAGAGAAGGTGACCTTTTTTCTCTATTCACTTTAAAGGGAGAAGAGGCTATCAGATCAAGACAGACCTCACCGTTTGGTCAGATCAGCCTGACCCTACTTTTCTCTCTGCTTGAACTCTTACTAGAACAAAGATGTGTGCACCACAACAAATTATTCAGTTAGCACAGAGGAGTTTGGCACTGAGTTCTTCCTTTCTTGAGTACTTCTGATCAATGAAGCTTTCCACTGTAGGACCCACAGTGCATCAATGCCATAAAGCCACATAAAGATTATTCAAGAGGAATCTTCACAGCTGTCTCATATCCCTAGTTAGCTGATCTTCTGCTCTTGTCAAGATCTGGCATCCCCATCATCTTCCACAAAGAGAGAAGATGAAGCCTGATCAAACAGTGGAACCTCTTCTTTCTTCCACTTCCAGTCTCAAAGTTCAAGGCAGTGTCTGAGTTGCTGTTTCTAAATTCGATTTATGCCCACAGACATCTCTGCCAAGGCACAGGACTAGATTAAACATCACCAATTAAACAGTAACTAGCATAGGGTGAGAGTGCCTAGAAGGCATTCTCCAACAGTAAAACCACAGATGGGCATTTCTACCATTTCTTAGAAGTGAAGCTTGTATCTCTGTATGTGTAGAAGTGCCATTAATGCTTGAAACTCCTACCTTCTAACAGGAGATTGCACTCTGCCTGAATTTTCATCCTCACAGCTAAGTCTTTGCTGAAAGACAATGGATTGGGTCAATCTTGTTGTGTAGGGTTACTGTTTATACTCATTCTCCTGATTCTGAGAAGACAACATGTATAGAAGAGCCACACAAGAGAAAACTTCCCCCCGGGACCCAGGCCTTTACCCATCATTGGAAATCTGCACATCATGGATCTGAAGAAAGCTTACCTGACAAAGCTAGAGGTGACTTCTGTTGTTCCTCTGAGGCGGGGGGGAGGATTACACTCACCAAGTGGGCAGATTTTCCAAACAGATGCCTGTATTTGAGGTTTCATTTACTCTCTACAGTCTACATAAGGACACAGGAACTCTTGAGAGAGGATGCACCTCACCTGAGGGTGACATCTAAGGGTAATGAGCACACTCTTCATACCAGGTGATGTCCCAGAGGCACAAATCCAACTCTCTTTTCTAAACAAAGCTGAACAAAATGCCTCATGCCTCAGGGCACATCAGACACCTCACAAACTCAGAACAATGGCTGTTTCCCATTTACTCATTTACCTGCTACAACAAAACTCTATCTTGTAAAAATGTGGCAGTGTTTGAACCCAGTTCTCACCTCTATATGGTATGGTCTCACGAGGTTTCAGCCCAGGTCTGCTATAGAAAAAGCATGGGTTGGCTGTTGGGTTACAGAGAAATATAAACCACCCTTCTGGACTCTCTTTTGATGCTGGTGGCAGGTAAAGGTGATACCATGATGGGACAAGTCTCCAGTACCTCTTGAGTTCATGTCAAAACCCAGCTCTAGCAGTAAATCTATTCTTCTCAACAAATCTCATCCTGCAAGATGATCTGCTCCAGGATGTATGGGCAGAAAAACACTGAAGGAAATTATTGAATCACAT